ATTTGTGTGGATTAACCAACAGATTTGCCCCCGTGTGATAACGTCCCTTGTCACATTACATGGCACTGACTGGCATACCCAGCTCCCTTGGTGGAAAGGAAAGGGGGTAGTAGGGGATAAAGTGTTGGACTTGGAGTTGGGGAATCCAAATTCTGGTCTGCACACTAGGCCATGAAATGCACAAAGTGGCCCTCTTGGGGCAGTTGAGATCTCTCAGCCTGACCTACAACCTTGGGATGGGAGAGAAAAAAAGAAAAATATATGCCACTTTGAGCTCCTCTGAGAAGTAAGATTATAAATGTAGCTGATAAATAACATGTTTTGTATGTATTTACACCCAATGTTTGTACATACTAAGTTACAAGCAACATGGTTAACCATAAGCTAGTTAGCTCTGTGTATCTGATGAAGTTAGATTTGTAACATAACACAAGTAGTAGTGAAGATGATTCCATTGTTTTAACTAGTTAGTTTCCAATCAGTTGGAAAAGTTATTTAAATGAGCATTTTAAAGGACATTCTGGAAACCCCCACTCCCTGTGTTTTATGCCATTCTTTTATCAGTTGTAAGAGGTTTTCCTCCTCAAAGAAGCAAGACAAAGTAATGGACATGTATCAAGCAGTGCAACAAGTGAAGCAACGAGTTATTTCATCGTTACGGCAACTAATGGCAACAGGTTACTTTTCAAAGACGGCAGCAGCTAAGATCATTATTTCTAAATAGTAACTCTCCAAAACCTCTGACCCAATTCCATCCTTCAGCTGAAGTGCTTGGTTCTTTCTTTACTATTTAACAAGACAGTTCTGAAATGCCTTGGGGGAGACTGGAAAATTAAGACCCATTGAAAGTTGTGCTGGTCTTTCAGCTTCGATACTGGTTACTCCCTCCTTTTTTCTCTTCCGCTAGGTCCGGCCATGTCCCAAGTGCTCCAGGCAGGGGTGTCGGACAGTCTGGCTAAGCTGCCCTTCATGAGCAGTGCCATGATGGTTGTGTTTGGAGTGCAAGGCTGCCGGGTGACGCGTTGTGGCTATACGGGAGAGGATGGCGTAGAGGTACCATGAAGGCAGCTCTTAATTCAGCTAACCAGAAGTTTAAAAAGGAGGAGGCTGTGGGAAGCACTGGTGGGCAAGTGACAGCACTGACATTGTGGAATAGTTGTTGACCATGGTGGGCTCCCAGAGAAGGACAAGTGAATTATTTCATGCTGGAAGGATAGCAGGTTGATGCAAAGGGCTCATTGAATTATAATGATTTAGTGAAAAGATGGCTGTCCATCAAGTCCAGAGAAAGTGCTGAATTGATTTAAAAAGTAGGATTGGGCAAGGCAAGCAAAAAAACACTGAAAGGAAAGAGGGCAGCAAACACCCCACTGACCAAATGCCAATGCTTTCATTTGCCCAGATCTCTGTCCCTGCAAGCCGAGCAGTGGAGCTGGCTGAGCTACTTCTCAGGGACCCTACAGTGTGGCTGGCTGGACTTGCTGCCCGGGATAGTTTGCGCTTGGAGGCAGGACTGTGTCTTTATGGAAATGACATTGATGAGAGCACAACCCCTGTGGAAGCCAATCTGATCTGGACTCTTGGTAGGCACATTCTGTGGTTCTGGTTTCTGTGTCTGTGTCCATCCTAGTAAGTGGCAGCTAGTACAGGATGGAATAAACATGCTCCAGGG